TTTGCGTAATTAACTAAAAACATCGTCACGCAAACTTTTGTCAGGGTAGTGTAGTCCAAAAAGTTTTCGGGTTTGGGTTTTCAGTTTGGTTCCAACCAACAATCTGAGCTTGGTCCGAAAATTATCGGATCCGTTCGGGCTTTAGGTATGTATTATTTTGAACTTTGTTTATTCATTGATCTCATTTAGTTTATTCTATTAATCCTTTATTGTTCTGAACATTCATTCGGTATTAGTTCCTAGATCTCTCTAATTTGGTTTGTTTTGAAAATGACACAAGTACAAGCTGTCCAAACAAACTTATGGTTGTAAGGGTTGTAATAATAATTGATATAATAATTTCAATTTTTTTTTGGAAAAGAAAACTCAACAAGAACAAGAACAGCATCAAAGGAATTATTCATAGAAATCAAAATAATAACAATAATAATATTTAACATGCATAAATAATTATTAACTATAGCTGACCAAAAAATATGTATGTTGTCTATTGATAACTGGACAGCTTGATCGATTATTGCCTTCTTCAATATTTATAAGTAAATATTACCCTCAAGTCAACGATACCATTCTTTTTGTTTGTGCTACATGTGATGTTTTGCAGACCTATTGCCTAACTTTAGTTTTTCATCAACCTTGGAAAAAGTTTTTTTTTGATATTATGTACCATGCATGGCTTCATTCAAAAAATGGAAAATTTATAAAAGCATATAAAAATTGAATCGGATCTTTCTCGTCTCAATGTTTAAATTATTGTAATAACAAGGGCCAAAAATTTGAAACATAAATTCTTTCCTAGCCATCGCATACATATCCTTTTTAAGGAACAATACAATACAAATGGAAGTAAATGAGCGTACTTGAGTGTGATATTGCTCCAATTCTGTAAGATTAGATAGCGTGATAGGTAACATACAGTAATATGAGTTAGCTGATTAAGTGATGAAAGATGTATTTACAGACTATAAAGTACCATTTTGTAACATGATCAAAAAATCTAATAAATTATTTCAAATAATAGTAACAATAGAAAGGATGACATGAACCAAGTAAAACAACACAAGAACCTATTAAGGACAAAGAAATTTTCTGATGTAATCACAACTACAACATCATCAAATATCACGAAAATAAAAAGTAAACAGTAATAAAAGTAGCCATTCTAGATTGTAATTATAATGAAATTGTGCAGTGAAAGAGGAATGGTTAAAAATACCTTACGAAGCTTTAAAAAAATTCATTGAAAGCATGTCAAGAAAATTGAGCCATGCATTTCTAATAATGGGTGATCCACTAGATATTGGTTTTTTTTCAATTGACTTTTTGAAGATCTTTTCAAAAAAAAGTATTTCGATTTTTTTTTAATTAATAAAGTACTAGGAATACAAAAAACATCAAAATTTATATGAAAACGAACAAGAAATTAGGCTATCTAATCTTAAAATTTTATGTATTTCTATTATATAGAATTTTTCGTAATTGACGAAAAACAAATTTTTGTCAAGGTAGTGTATATATATTTATTAATTACAAATAACATTTTATAATTTAATAATAAAACAAATTAATTCTTTTTTTTGTTTAATAAACATTTTGTGGTCGAAATTAAACAGTAAGGTTTAATTGTCCGTTTGGTTTTCGCGGTTTAGGTTTCGCTAATTTCGCCAGAAAATTTTCATGAGCCTAAACCAAAATTGCCTAAATGCCTAAATATACTAATTTTGTGTCTTGAATTGTGTCTTGCATCATGAATTACGTCTTGCGTCACGACGAATTGCGTCTTACATCTCTTGCATCATGTACTATACCAATTGCGACTTTTAAGCCAATACAATTGTTTAGTAAAATTTATTATTGTATAAAGAACTTAAGATATCATTATCTAATTATCTAGAAATTTATAAACCCTTAAACAATTTTCCTTCAATCCTCATGTTTTTTTTTAAATCAACAATTACTGCATTTCCCACAACTTCTACATAGCCAATTTCTATCTCAACTGCATTTATACATATTTTAAGAATTTCGTCATGGTTAGATCCAAGCAATATCCGCGGAATCTCGCCTTTTGTTTGGTTTCTTTGTTGTTTCCGTAACATACTCTCTACTTCACCTCTAAAATGTTATAGAATTCATTATATAATATAGTAAATTATAAATATATTTAATGTCAGACAGAAGAACATACGTTGGAAATCTAATTTTGTATTTCATGTCGTCAAAAACTTTAGAAATAATAGGATTGATAAATGACTCTCGATATAATAATTCAGTCGTATTCGTGTCATGGAGTAAATTGATGAGGTAAACAAAGTAAAGTACGGAAATTAATTAATTAATTGTGTTGCGTTATTATTATACTAAGCAATAAACATTTACAATTTCCGATAGATGTCCTGAACCCATAATAAGTCATAATGCTTTTCAAAAATAATTTCGATTGGGGTTGTTTGAGTTTCGTCATCAAAAACAGATTTAATCTCAATTTGTGGATGGATATTTTTCAACCAAGGGTTTTATATCCTTCACCCATTTTGATCTACGTACTGTTTTTGACTTCTTTTCAGCTGATAGTTCTAACTAAAAGAATATCAAAATTAACACTATTTATAGTCTAAAGAGAATGGCTAAAATATGTGATCCCCAAAATTTTCACATTTGATTTCTATCTTTGTCTGAAAAAATACTATTTACAGGGTCTGTAAGATTTTCTTTAGAGATTCACAACGCGGGGTTGGCAAATAAGCGGTCCATTAATGCCTATTGGGTCCATTGCCATTAATAAAATACTAAATATGGTTAAAGTGTTACATTAATGTACCAGTCCAAAATCCATTTGTTCTCAATGGACCAGTCAATTTGCCAACCTTGTCACAACATTATAATTGAAAAGACGATCATTGACATCTTTCATCTTTTTAATAAAGTGTTTAACTTCGATTGATGAATTATCGTGATTATATAAATTGACATTCTCGTGAAGAGGAACACTATCTTGGAGATTATAAGACGAAGTAATGGAAAGGACTTCCTCAGCTGACCGTTCCTTTTCATTCTTGAAATTCGATATAAAGAACATGGAGTTTTTAATCATTTGTAATGCGGAAACAAGAGAGAGGCACATAAAAAAAACACAGATAAACAACATACCAATGTGTTATTAGAAGTAGAGCTTTTTATATCACTTTTCAGTGTGCTGTCAATTTCGTTGAAAGCAGTCTTAATCAGTGTTGTTATGCAATGGAATTCGGAATCTGGAATTATGTGTTCCATTGTTCCGGTGTTCCAGTCTTTTTCACTGGAATACAAGGTTACACTGGAATTCAGCTAATGAAATTTTTTATTTTTAGTCATAAAATTTGTAAAGAAAAAATTTAAAATTTTTAATGAGTAAACAAATTTAAAGCATTTGTTTCTTCATTTTCTACCCATTGGAATGATTAGCCATTAGAGACTGTCATTCTTAACATTAACATTTCAAATATTTGTTGTTCACTTTGTTGTAAAGGCCTACCAAGATAATGATTTAATGTTAATTTGAGAATCATTTCTTACATGTTTAAATAAGTAGAAATTTCTGAAAAAATATTATCTTCAATATTAATAATACCAGTATTACCTAAATATTAATTAAATTGTTAAATATTTACCAGATCATTTGATCTATTTTGCAATTCTTTTTGTTTGATTATTTCAAGATGATTTTCTACAAATTCAATTTTATTAGAATAGCAAGTTTTAAAATTTTCATGATCTAATAAGTGTTTCCCAATGCTTTTCATTGTGTTTGAAATTTTGGACTTCTGTTTTAGCATTATTGAATCTTTTTTTGTTGTACATCCTTTACAGATTGTAAGATAATTGCTCTGATTATCTTTATATTTTTATCAGTATAAATAAATTCATGAAATACATGATTTGGTTTTCTGCAAACTTTTTTTTATCAAAATGGGTTAGTCACATTGGAATAATCATTGGAACACTGGAATCACTGGAATATGAAAAAATTCCAGTGTTCCAATGTGGCGCATAACACCCCTTGTTCCATTGAGTATTCCAGTGGTGTTCCAGTATTCCATGTTCCAGTTATTTGTCACTGGAATAAAAATTTAACATCCCTGGTCTTAATCAAATTTTTAGTGCCATGCATCACTGTTCAAGCAGTTTTGTCTAATCAGGACATCAGTCAACACAAGTCTGAATTAGACTAGGAACCCAAAAAACAATAATATAATGAACCAACCTTGTCTAACCTTAAACTCAAATTGGTAATAGATGATTCTATTTCATTCCAAAATATCTTGACATCATGGTATCTTTCGCAGTGATTCTTATATAGTAGTCAGAAGTCAAGAGGTGAGTGAGTATAGTGATTGAGGAAACAGTATAAAAAAAAAACTAGCAATGAATGGAAGCTGGTCACAACAGACACATAACAAGTACACAAGCCATAAAGTGAACAGTATGCAAGTGTTCACTGTAGTTGTGTGCACAAGAGAAAATCTTGTGATATACAACAGATATGCAATCATCAGAGAGCAGGGCGCACAATAAACTCTCCTAGTCACATAATTATTTGCCTTAAAATCCTGTAACAATTTCCTTACGACTGTTTTAACTTCTTCTGAATCAACATTCATTAGTTTGTTGAGATCATTCTTGAGTTTAAGGGCCTCCCTTCTATAAGAAAAAGTGAAATCATGTTGCTGCTGATGACACTGATAGAAACTCAGAAAGCTGTAATCTCTCACTGAAGTTTCATGAAAGTAAGCAGAGAACTTGTTTGACATTATTGATGATAAATTGAAGTCAAATAAGAAGTTATCTAAATAATATAAATGTTTTGCACCAGGTGACTTTAAAAACAGAAATTAAATAAGATCAACCAATGAAAAATCACGATAGAATTAAATTAATATTAATTATTATTATTATATATAATCACATTACAAATGACTAAATTTTGATCCCTGAAATCTTTAGTAACACCAATGTTCACTTTGTGTAAATTTAGATAATTTACTTATTATTTTCTTGGTCCGACAATTTTTTTGAAGATTTTTTCCAAACCGGGCATTCCCCCGATATTCTTGATCACAAATTCGCTCCCTGCCTGGTCTTTGGAGTCACCATTATTATTTATCAATTGAAATTTGTATCACTTTAATCATGCTGGTTTTGTTACGGTACATACATACAAACTCCATATAAGTTTTTCTTTATATATATAAAGAAAGAACTTTATCAACTTTATTATCAATATGGAAATTTTAAATATGGTATAAATAAAAAATTAAATTTAGAATTCACTATTTTTATTGTGATTATTGAGATTATTGAGATTATTGTTTACTTTTTCCAAATCTTCGTTTTTATTATTATTAGTGTTTTTTTTTTTATATACATCATGTTTTTAATTGACTTGTGCGAGCTTTGAGATTTTCAAAATTTTATCTATTTCAAGAAAAAATTAAATTTATTTATGCGAAGGGTACTATGAGGAGAGAGCTGTTTGTCTGTCTGTAATATAATATAAAAAATTTATATATTTACTTTCTTTAAAGAAAAAATTTTTTTTTTTCCTCGGATTAAATTTTTTTAAATTTGTAATAATTTTTATATTATATTATATATAACCAATCAATTAATAATAATAATTTTATATTCTATTAATAAACTATATTACCCTTCCTTTTTACCTATCCATTAATACCTTTTTTATAACCTTCCTCCTTATATTTGTTAAATAAATATAAATATACATCACACGCACACGCACGCACAAATATATCTATAATATTTTCATAAAATGTCAGTACTTACACCCCCTTCAACTTCAACTGATTCTTCAAGACCTGGTTCTTTTGTGATGCCAGTGGAACCCCCTACTATACTTGATCAATCTCACCTCAGACCTGGTCATAAAGCCTCCTTACTTTCTCATACTCAAACTTTAGAACTATATCGTCAAAATGCTAAAAAAACAAATGATCCTGAACTTCAGTTTGAATTTGCTGCTTTTATGATAGAAGCTTCAAGAGCTATGAACGAAGACCCTAAAAAAAGAGAAGAGTTATGCAAAGAAGGAATGTCCATATTAAAAAAACTTTCGGATAGAGGACACGCAAACTCTCAATATTACTTAGCTGATTGTTATGCAAGCGCGATTGGTACATCAAAAAATAAACCCGACCTTGACAAAGCTTTCCCCTTGTTTGTTCAAGCTTCTAAACATGGTCATCCTGAAGCTGCTTATCGGGCTGGTGTATGCTATGAATATGGTTGGGGTTGTCGTAAAGATAGTGGTAAAGCTCTACAATTTTTAAGGTAAGTCAATTGATGATTTTGATAAATCATTTACATTATAATGTTAATTTAATATTAAATTAATACATAAATATCTATTGATATATTTATATATCTAGGAAATCAGCAACAGCAAGTCATCCTGGTGCTATGTATCGTTTAGGTATTGCTGAGCTAAAGGGTGAACTTGGCTTATCAAAAAATCCTAGAGATGGTGTAAAGTGGCTCAAAAGATCAGTTGAATCAGCAAATGAAGAATTTCCACATGCTTTACACGAATTGTCTGAACTTCATGAGAAAGGTGTTGAAAACATTGTATTTGTAGATTTGGAATATTCTGTTCGATTGTTAATACAGGCTGCAGATTTAGGCTATGCACCATCTGCGTTTAAATTAGGTGAATGTTACGAGTACGGAAAGATGGGCTGTCCGCAAGATGCCGCTCTCTCAATTCACTACTACACGGTTGCTGCTCAACAAGATCACCCTGAGGCTTGTTTTGCATTAACAGCTTGGTATCTTGTTGGAAGTCCTGGAGTGTTACCGCAAAGTGACACAGAAGCATATTTATGGGCTAAACGTGCAGCTGAAAAAGAATTGGCAAAAGCTGAATATGCTATAGGGTATTTCACTGAGGTCGGTATTGGGATTCAAAAGGATCAATTAGAATCTAATGTTTGGTATCGTCGTGCTGCTGAACATGGCGATAAAAGAGCTCAACAAAGATTAAGGGGTGTACCAATTGATGATAGTAAAAAGAAAAAAGATGATTGTGTGATTTCTTAACCATCTTTTTTTTTTGCAATCTCTATGATTATATATATATATATATACACACTTGCATACATACATACACATATATATGATTTAATATATATATATATTTAACTAATTCATATATAATAAATATGTGTGTCCAGGAAAGTGGCAGGAGTTGTAAATATCTTTTGGAATTCTTTTTTCTTATAAATATATATACACACACACATATGCATAACCTTTCTTTTCTTTTTCCTTTTTTTTAAACTTATCCTTAATTTAATTCTTTTATTCTTTTTCATTTTAACTTTGGAATTGTGATTCAAACAAACATTTTCACATATTTTCATACATTGACCGAACAAAAATATAATAAATAAATAAAAATGTGATAATAATAATAATAATAATAATAAAAACAATAAAAAATACAAGTATTTTTTTTCTTTCGATAAATATAATTTGAAAATTATTATATAAGAGATTTCGAGATGACGATGATAAATTATTATAGTGCATCCTATGTATATACTAGATATATCATTAGTACTGGATCTTTTAATTGCTTGCTTTAAATAAAGAGAAAAGTCGTTAATTATTCATTTATAAATTTAAAAAAAAAAAAAAATAATATTTAAATTTGCAGATCATCTATACTCAAATATATGACTCATTCGCCTTTCCTTTTTTTTTTTTATTTAAAAAGGGGAATAAATTAAAATCAACAATTAAAAAGATGTCATTTTAGATTAACTTATTTGAGATAAAAAAAGCTCTAATAAAAATCGGTAATCTTTACTGATGATCTGCACCGTCTATTTATGATCGCATTTTTTAAATTTAATGACCAACCAGAATGTTTAGCATGTGCATGATACATCTAAAATTTTTATCGTTTAACCAACTACAGAGTTTATTATAACCAATTGCAGACAGACTTCCAATCGAATCTGATCATGTTTTATGATGTGCGTGCGTTTTTATTATTATTGTTATTTAATATGGGAAATGTTGCAACAAAACCAGACAGAGTGAACATTTATATTACCAAGAATTTCAGGGATCAAAATTTGTAATGTGATTATTAAAATCTCCCATTTGTTTATCATCTTTGTTTTTTCCTTAATATCAAGTGATATATAATTACTCCTATATAAAAATATGAAAATCATTTATATCAGAAGTACTTTAAAAAAGGAACAAGGCGAAAAAATTGCTCCTTACATTTTCAAAATAAATGATACTCAGACACTTGAGGCTTATCTAAGAAAAGAAAGGATTACCTATGAAATTTACCCAGAGGAAAGAAAAATAATAAATGTTGGAAAAAGAAAGCAGAATGAAGATGTGCTATTATCAAACAAAAAACAGAAACCTTTAGAAGAAGGAAAATAAAATACAATGAATCTTATTATTATATATTTATCTATCTATTTTTTCTTTTTAGTCCTTTTAACAACATAAATCATAGCAATTATAAAACCTAAAAAGTTATATCTGCTATTCATAATCAAATAGATTTACTATTATTCTTTGAAATATTATTGTTATATTCATCAGCAGCTTTGGCAAAATCTTCATCTTTTAAGTCAGAGACAATAGTTTTAACATGATAGATATTAGATTCAGTAGCACTATGATTATGTTTGTAATCAGGAAGAATGTAAATCTTATTTTTATCAGTAATGCTGTAGCTGCTTTTTTTATTATTGTTGGATTATCATCAATAAGATATTGAAAGCCAGGATATTTTCTTTAACTTCATCTAAAGGACAATTGGAATGAATTTCATTTATATAGAGGAAAATATTTTCTCAATCTTCTTTAAATTACTTTCTTGCTTTCAATCAAGGTCATTTTTTGGGTTCTTTAACTTCAATTTGAGCAACTTGTTGCAAAGTTAACTAACTGTTCTAACTGAGTTTTTAATCTTTGAATTTCTTCTTTATAATTGCCATTTTCTTCTTCCAACTCCTTAATCTTATTCAATAACTCTTGTTTTTGCTTTTTACTTCACTCTTCTGATTTCTCTTGAAATTTGGCTACTTCTTCTCTTTCAATATTTAATTCCTCTTTAGTATTAATAGTTGATAACTCTTTTTCTAGTTCTCTAGTTTTATTTTCTAAACAAGAACTGAAAGCTTGTGAAAGTAGATCCTTATCAGAAAGTGGCTTAATTGATTTAGTTTTTAGACAACTACAAAAACATCTATTTCTATTTCTATTTAACCTACCACATTTCTCACAGCATGAAAGAGTGTTATTATCATAATCTTTTTTACATTCAATACAAATAAAAACGATGTCAGAATGTCAATCAGGAGTGTTATGAGCTACCATTTGATGAGTAGCAGGAGCAGTATCAAAATTAAGGAGAATTGGATCATCATAATCTAGAAAACAAAAGTTACACTCTTGTTCATCTCCCTTTGCTATTTCCAAAACTCTATATTCTAACTTCATACTAATTACTTACTTTTCTGAATAATAAAAGTTTGGAACTTCTCTTTAGTTTTTTCTTTTACTTTGCTTACTAATTTTTAGAGTTTATGTAATCTATTTTCTTTTTGTTGTTTTGGTAAAGCTGGTAGTTCTTCGGTTGCTAGATAATCCCTTCAGTTTATTTCCTGACTTTTTTCTTGTTGGCCATATTGCTGACAAAGATGTAATATAATCATGTGATAATTTTAATCTATAGGACAGGGAACTGATTGGGCAAAAACCCATTTAGTTCCCAAATTTATAAATTGGTAAGTATCAAAGAAACAGATAATTTAGAAAAAAAATTATACAAAACAAACACTATTTTACAACTTTCCTCTTAACATCAGAGCCCAAATGCAATTCCAGGGTCACCATAACCTCCTGTGCTTGAAACGAGTTGCAGATTCTCTTAATATTCCCATCCTTACCCTAGAGATATGATCATTGCAGGAAAGAAATTTGGCAGCCTCCTCTGGTCTGGGTTCTGTGAGAAAAGATTAGTGAAAAGTGTTATTGACAATGATGCAGTCTCGGTAAACTCCAGGACATGACCACCCTCTCCTGGAGTTTAACAGCATCATTATATCATTGGGGGGGACACTAGTCAGATTAGCCTTGTGTACACGAGGAACACAAGAATGACTGTAAGTGTTCAAGATAGCGTGCGTGTTTCAACATCTGTAAATTTCCAATAATCAAACACCACATGTTCGAATTGTTTCTTTTTCAATGGTGTGCTGCCTTGACATCTTGTAATAAATTATATATTGAAATATTAATGTTAATATTAATAATGATTACAAAAAGCCAAATACCAATCATTTGTTTACCATCATGATGAGAATCTTATAATTACCCAGCAAGATATGCTCTGTGTTTTGATTTCAATAATATACATTATATGGGGCATGCTGCAACAAAACCAGGCAAAGTGAACATTTGTATTACCAAAGATTTCAGGGATCAAAATTTAGTAATGTGGTTATTAAAATCTTCCATTTGTTATCCTCTTAATATA